ACCCACAATTTAATGCCTGGATAAATCTAGGGGACCAAGCGATATAGTCAGTCCCCCTCTTTCCACCTCCCAGGTCTCCTTCTGTTGGAGTTTAGACTCGCCTACTTCTGCAGATGACGAGACAGAGGTCCAGGTGCCACTTTACCTGGGGAGCTGCTCGCTTTGGCAGGCCGACCTTACTGACTTGTCACCAGGACAGGCAGAGAGCGGCCAGCAGAGTTACTATGACTGACAGCCCCACCATGCTCTCCAGTGAAGGACAAAGGGACAGTTCTCCAAATAAAGGGCGACTCTGGGCAATCAAAAACTATGCCTGCCCACTACAATGTTATCTTTAGCTTGAAAATTAGGGGAATCAAAAAGACAAAAAATAGTTTACATTGGGTGATCCAAAACTCTAGTGCATTTTGACAGTGTATGTCTTCAAGATTATGAAGAATGTCTAAATAAAAAGTGGAAAATCCAGTCAATCCTATAAATATTTCTAAATATTTACTTATTTTGGTGTTTTATGACAAATATGGGTAATTGAGTGACACCCTTCATTTTTTTATCCAGATGCTTTAATACTATCTTAACCCAGTTTAATACCATTTAGAATCTAGAACATGCAACCTGGTCATGATTACATGATTTTAAAAAAGCATTAGATTTTAGTATGTGATTTAGTGTCTTGCTATAACATGTTTACTCAACAAATTAGAGCTGAAGCAGAGAACTAATATTATATAAAATGGAGAAATTATGTTACCACAACATTTCTATAATAGAGTTGAAGAGACAACTAAAATCAAGATATGCCCTCTTTAAACATTAGAAAATCATTTAAGTCTTTTTATATATTTACTTTCCTTTTCCACTATATTCACTTGGTGACTCAGGCAACGAAATACGAGGACATCAAGGGAATTTTCTCTTCGAAGTTAATGCCTTGCCTGTTTCTCTTTCAGTGTTAATGCTCAAATTCCCAGCTGTAATATGGTGTGTGAAAGTAAAATAAGCATTTAATTGCGTATTGTTAAGACAGAATTATTTCCTTCCTTTCTAAATTAAACACGCGTGCTGACGTCATCGACACGGCGGGCCTGTGCTAAACACCGTTCCCGCGTGACTCGCGGGCGCGTGGACTGCCGGTGAGACGGAGACCGGCGCAGGTGCGGACCCTGGGCATCCGCTCCACCCCAAAAATTACCGTCCGAAGTAAGTAACACTTGGGCCCTCTAATTCTGATGAGCAAACCGAGGTATAAAGGGGTTTCGAAGATTACCTAAATCCACAGAGCTAATTAGGGGTAAAACAGGGATTTGAACCCAGGAAGTCTAATTCTTGAGTGTATGCTCTTTCACTGTTTATGTCGCCTCTAAATACTCGATGGTTAGTATATTTAATAGTATGAACCTATAATTGATGATGGTTAACATTAACCATAAAATACGCATTAAACTTTGTATTAGGAGCCTCCCGGCAAAATTCTCCCCTGAAGATCTTAAGTTACCATGACATTTTGCCCGTATTTCTCTCTTTTTGGATAAAAACTAGAAATACCTAACAGTAACTCTAACTTCATGATGTTGCAGTAATGTAAGCATTACATGTTCTTATGAAAAAACAAAATCTTTGTCCTGCCTTGTGCCCGTTTTCTGTTGAATGCTACGAGGGAAGAACAGAGAAGGAGCTGCCCACGAGGTCACCCACCCCCAAACGCAAGCCTCTGGTCTGACCGGACCTCTTTACAGACAATGATTTTTACCCCAAGTAAAAGGTCTCCCTCCCTCTCCCTTTGAAGCAGATACTTGGCGGCAAACCGTTCTACGTCTGCATGAATGCATTTCCAAAAAGTAAATGTGGGCCATCCATGTCTGTTTGCACGTGGGGAAGGCTGGGGGCCGGGGAGAGAAAGACAGATACCCTCACCCACAGGCTAGGCCCAGTGTGGCAGCGGAGACCGCGTTACTGATGGCACCACCTGGAGCGACAACTGGTCTCAGCAAAGCCTCCGGAATGGTTAGTCAAAGCCCAGGGGTCTGTCTGCCTTTTTGTGCCCTACAGGAGAGAAGCCTGAAGCCAGACCGCCGTTGATCTTATATCGGGATGGTTAAATTCAGAACATTTGAAGCTGCCTAGGTAAGTAATTCTTATTCTTTTAAATGAAACTGTAATGTTTCAAAATATACAAATTGCAAGACTCATTTCATAAAACTTATGAATAAAAATATGTGATTTATTTTAAAATTGGCATGCTTTATTCAATGAGCACATAACTGTATTTCAAATAGTATATAACCACACCCAAATACATAGCAAATAAAATAAAATGTGTACCATAAAATGTATCTCAATTTTAGCTAATCCTCATCTTATTTTAATTTCTAAAATATTTAGCATCTTCTCTTTCTTAGTAGCACAGGATAAACATATTAACCCTTAAGATGAAAACTATGTGCCACTTTGTGCAAAGAAACATATTTTTCAAAATTCTTATATAATGTTCATAGCTACAAAGTTATAAGATCACTGCTCTACACAATAAAATCCTTACTCCATAATAATGACTTTCAAAATATTTTATAATCTTTTCCTCAACTACTTTTCCAGTTTCAGTCTGTGGCTATATCTTGGTGTGAGTTTTTAAGAATCCTAAGCAAGATAAATAAAATTAAAAAAATCATATGTACACGTACAGTGTGACTGCAGAACAGCAAAGTGGAAACAGAAGATCTTAAAAGAAGGAGAAAAAAACATTATCTTCAAAGGAATGACTTGTAAAAAGCAGATGCCAGAAATTGTAAAATAACATCTTTAATGGGTTGAGAGAAAATAACCAAACTAAAATTGTATAGCCAGCAAAAAGTATCTTTCAAGAATTGGGAGAGTTTGCCAATTAATTAAAGGAAATCCTAAAAAAAAAGAGAATGTACTTCAAAAAATAAAAAATAATATATTTCAAGTAGAAGTAACATAATCTCCAAGGGAAACTCTAAGATGCAAGAAGAGATGAGGAGGGAAGAGAAGTGGTAAATATGTGCGTAAACATAAACAAATCTAAACTATATAAAACAATAATACTTTCTTAGGTTAGAAATCAATACAGAATAAAAGCACATCTACAGTAACATTTAAGTCAAAAAGTGATGAATCTAGAATGTTCAAAGATTCTTGTGTTGAGAGAAAAGTGAAGGTATTGATAAATGTTAGACTCTGACAAGTTAAATATTCAGGCTAAACTTTTTTTGTATAGCTATGAAAAAAATGGGAATAGAGGGTATGATTTCCATAATATGGGTAAAGGCAAATGGAATGAAAAAATTTATTCAATCAGTAAAGAAAGGCAAGAAGAGATTGAAAACCAAATAGAAAAAACAAGACAAAACAGGACATAATGTGAACTGCAAAACACCCTCACCCCCCACCCCACCTTTGGTTGTGGATTTGTTTTTCAACGAGTTGGATAGCACTGACATATTATATTGTTATTTCTTACAGGAAGAAATGTAACAAAAGAAGTGGATTACATGTCAAAACATTGTTTTTAAGTTTATTGAAGTCATTAAAGATGATCTATGTAGTAGAAATATAGACCATATTGTTTTGGAGGTCTCACTTTCATAAGCAGGTAACACGTTCTATGCAAATTGTTCTATAAATTCAATGCAATTTTAATGAAAATTACACCACAAGTTTTGTTTTTCTTTTTTGGAATTTGATAAGCTAATTTAAAATATGTGAAACAGGATGCCAAGAATAGCTTGAAGAAGTGCAAGGCTGAGGGTGGGTTGGAGGCAATTGCCTTATAAGATAACTGAGACTTAACGTAAGTTATAGTAATTAAGAGTGCGGTGTTAGTTCAGGAATAGCCAAAAGACCAATAAAACAGAATGAAGAACCTGTATACAGACCCCCAGAGATGTGAAAACTTGAGTTAGGTTTGTACTGTCAGCAGAGGTCACAGGGAAAGGATCAAAAAGTGGCACTGGGACAATGGTTTATCCAAAGGAAAACAAGTAACTTGGATCTCTGTCATACACCATACCCCCTAAATCAATTTCAGGTGGATAAAATGCATAAAAGTATGAGACAAAACTATAAAACTTTTACAAAACAATACAGAGGAATATTTTTATGATCTCAGGGTACAAAATTTCTTGAACAAGATTGAAAAACATCATCTCAAAAGAAAAAGATTAATATATTTAACAGCACTAAAAAACCTGGTCATTAAAGACAAGCCACAAACTTGGAGATGATATTTGTAAACTATAACTGGCAAATAATTTATAATTAGATATAAAATAATTCCTACAAAGCAAATAAGAAACACACAGCTCAACAGAAAAATCAGGCGAGCATATGAAAGGATGCTCAAACCCATTAGTAATCAAGAAAATGCAAATTAAGATCATAATCTGACAATACCAAGTGCTGACAAGTATATGGAGCAATAGGAAGAAACTCTCAAATGCAACTGATATCAGCATGTAAATTGGTACAATAATTTTTGAAAACTATTAGGATTATCTAATCAAATTGAAGAGGGTTTATCTAATCAAACCCAGCAATTCCACTGCTAGTTAAATACCTTAGAGAAACACGTTACCAGGAAATGCAAAATGATCAGTGTAACATGATTTGCAAAAGCCAAAACTAGGAAACAACCTAAACATTTATCAATAGTAAAATGGATAAATAGTGGCATATTTCAAACAATGAAACAGCGTGTGGTGGTGAAAGTCAATTAATTAAAACAATATGAATGGATCTTAGAAATATGTTTAGCAAAAGAGCAAGTTGCACCTAGTGTATGATTCCATTTATACAAATATCAAATATATGCAAACCCAACCAATATAGTGTTTAGGGATGATGCACATATATGACAAAACTATAAAGGAAAGCAAAGAATGCTATTTACAAAATCCAGGATGCTCCTTGCCTCTAAGGGGGAGGTAAGGGCATTGTGTAGGGAGAAGGTCATAGGTTGTTTGTTTAAATTTGAAATTGAAGTGCTCGCTTCCACAGCACATAGGCTAAAACTGGCACAATGCAGAGGAGCTTAGCATGGCCCCTGCGTAAGGATGACGCACAAATTCTTGAAGCGCTCCATATTTTAAATAAATAAATAATATGAAATTTTGTTTAACTTGAAGTTTGAGTACTTGACATGTATCTGTGTATCTATAATATGTACTGATATGTATCTATATATGTAATATTTATATATAACGTGTAGATACATCTACATATACTGTATATAATATATAAAACATTATTTTTTTCACTGTACTCAACATTTAGTAAAGACTTTGTCAAATGTTAAAAAAAAAAGCCCATATTTAATCGGGATGATCTCATGGAGATAAGTTTTTTAAAGCTGACAGATACCATACTCACAAAATCTTGATTAAAAAAATGATATCTTTCTAAATTAACTGCCTAAAACACTTCTATAATGATATTTTCCCTGCATTTTAAAATTTGGATAATCTCTATATGAAAACAATTATGCCTTATTTTATACAGAGAGAATAGGAAGATAATTCATTCTTATGGCTTGATTGGTCAACAAATGTTTTTTTAATATTGATAACTGGTATGTACCACGTACTCAAATTCCTGTAGGTGTAGTCATAGTTTATAAATACTACCATACAAATAGAGGGTTCTGATGTGGTCCATTTTGGCCTATTTCCATCAAGAAAGAGGGAAAAATGTGCCACATGTTTATCCCATGTCACACACTGTGTAATTAAGTACATTCCTGAAGAGAAAAACTTTCATTGTGAATAGGCATTAAAGATAACTGAGCTTTCTAGTTCGAGTTTCATGTGTGTGAAGATGAGGAAATTTCCATGAATTTGCTTCTGACTGAATATTTCAATCCTTTGTTCTCTTCCCACTCCACATACATTTGATGCATTAGGACATGCTCATGTGTTCATATGACTTGTGGCCTGGCCTGTTTCCTGTCCATTGCTGGGTGAGCAGGCTCAGTGGGCTGTGGGAGCATTTCCAAAGCTGCTCTGATACAGGAAAGCCAGCAACGACTTCACTGTTTACAGACGTGATCGAAGTGATCACAAGCCACTGATCCCAAAGAAGATATATCCCCGAGTCAACTCCTCCTTTGCCAGAATCCCAAAGTGCCTGTGACTCAAGAGGAAGTATGACTGAGGAGACACAAAGAGATGAAGTGACTTAACCAATTCCATTTAAAATACCTATGAAATAAAATACCTACAGTATTTTTGCAAATTTTACAAAAGCATATGAATGTGTAAGCATACTGGGAAGGCTCCCCCCCAGTCTTGAGAGGAGCCAGAAAACTTACATTTTAATAGTTTTAGTAAATCTGCTGGTGGGCTTGATAAATGTTTGCTGAATGAATAAATGAACCAGATATGAGACACTGCATTCCAGGAACCTCTCTTGTCAAGTAGGAATTGTTCTTCTTACCCTATAGGTATCAGGGCTGGGATAGGATATGTTTTAGGAATTCCACTCTTATCAAATCTTTGGGTAAAACGTTTTCCCCCAGGCACCTGGGTTCCGGGCACGTGGTGCCCACACACATAGCAGCCTTCCAGTTCTGCAGAAAGTGCATATCCCGTCGCAAGCTGAGACGTTGCCAATTTCATCAGACATCAGTCTCTTGGGAGTTTATTTGTGTAGCTGGGTCCTGAGAACCTGACACCTCAGAGCACCAACAAAACTTGAGTTTCAGAACCCAGAACGGTGGCACTCCGCTGCAGTGCCACTTGCACACCCTTGTCACAGCAGCCCGGTTGGCCTTTCCCCGGGGGATGCATGGAACTCACCCAGCACATCTCAAAACTGCCACTCGGATGGCTCTGATGACTCAAAATAACACTTAAATGGGGTGAGAATTATTAATTAACTGGATATACACAGGTGAGGTTTAAAAGGCAAGGGGCTGCCCTTTATCTATTCTCTCTTTTTAAACTTAAAAAAATGAATGCTATTTTGTTATAACTTAAATGATTTAAAAAAAATTACTTTCCACTATGCGGGATTAGGAAATAACTTTTAGTAGCCACAAGACAAGCAGTTCTTGAATCTCTAGGACGAAGGCAGCAAAGAGCAGAAACTCCTTAGCAGTGGCCCTGAGGCTGCCCAGGGACACATCGGGAATTGCGTCTAAATACGGTCAATTCTTCACTTCTTCAACTTTCAGGTGTTTTTGAGGAGAAGAGGAAAGGACTGGATAACATTGACCATTTCACAACGGACCACGTTCTTATGGATTTTTTAGGGCTGAAAGCAGAGAGTCTGTTACTCCCAACACCCCCACATTGTACAGACAGGAAACTGAGGACAGAGGGCAAGTTACTCCTACAAGGGCACCAGGCTAGCGATAGATGCAGGGACTCTGGAAAGGGTTTAGGATATTATTTTTAGGCCTAAGAAATTCCGAACCGAGTGTCACAGAGGCTGCAAAGGAAGACATACAGTGAGCCAGCCGCTATCCCAGATTGTTTGCTGGAGCGGGGGCAGGTCCCCCGACTTGGCCAAATTAACAGCTGGTAACAGTTGGAGGCAACTGTCAGTTCTTAGAATTTTGAGCTTGCAGAAATCTTGCAATTAATGATATTAGGGAACGGTCGCTCCTCCTGGTCCCATCCATCACTTGTTGGAAGGTGAGTGGGCCCACCAGCTGTCACATACAGAAGTATCCCCAGCTCAAGCAATAAACTGGAGTTGCATGGAAGATAAAACCAATGTCAACCGATGTAAACCAACGACAAACTGGTCTATGAAAGGGAGTCTCAGCTACACGTCTCCAGGGAAAACATAAGACAGTAAAAAATTGATAATCAAATATCTCCGGAAGGGTAACTAAAGAAGGGATCATTGTCTCCCCAAAGGGAAGCCAAGGGTTGGGGTTTTAGATGTAGGAGAGACTTTTCATTGTCATCCTCTATACATATAGGCTTTGAAATTATGTAAATTTTAATCTATTTTTTAAAGAAACATGAGATTTTTAAAAAGAAAGTAAGAGAATCTCTCTTGAAGTGATAGCAGTTTAATAAAGGCCTGAGCAGCAGGGTAGAATGCAGTGCCCCCCGCCCCTGCCCCAACGGGCCTTTGTGGGGACCCAGGCAGCGGGGCCTGGGCCACGCTGTGAGCCCGGGAGGGAGCAGCTGCCGCGACTCTGGCATCACTTTCCAAAAGGATACACGCCCCTCATTCTTTCCTAATGTTCCTTGCTGTAACTCCTAGATACCTCCCTGAAACTAAATATTTCCTTTTTTGGAGAAGGATTAAGTATAGTCAGAATCCTATTTTAACAGCTATCACCATGCTGTCAAGTTCAATATAACAAAGGTCCTGTCCTGGCCAACAGCCCATATGAGCAGGGTTTTGCTCATGTATCCGTATATACGAAGGCAACAGTAAGGATTTTATACACACAAATGCATATGTGTAGGTGTGTATATACTATTTTTCTTTAAAAATTATATATGCATGTATATACATGTGTGTATAAATTATATGTATACACACATATATATAATTTTTAAAGAAAAATATTTCAGAAACATCATTTTAAGAAATCAGATCTACAGAGGATAGCATCAGATAGACCATGAACTAATCAATGCAGCATGTTAGGATGTAGCAGAAGAGATGAGTGTGCAGCTTTGAAAAAACACAGCACTCAAGAGGCAGTTTAGAACAGCAACTCCAAGCGTGGATGGACTCTGGAGCCAGGCGACTTAGGAATCCAGCTTCGCCAGCAAGTGACAATGCAATGTTTATAGGGATGCTCAAAATCTGAACTCAGTCTCAGGATCAGACGTAACACTGCATTGTCATTGAGGCTCCTGAGGCCTCTGTGACAGGCTCTGGGCAGGCTCCATCTAGAACAGTAGGGTTTGTTCTGGAAACCTGGTAAGAGGGCCATTGGCAGACTGGACTGTGTCCACAGGAAGGCAACCATGGGAAAGAGCCATCTCACACGTGTCAGTCAGGATATTTTTAGTCACGAGTAACAGAATACTAGGATCAAACTGGGCTCAGCAAAAAAAAAAAAAAAAAAAAAAAAAAAGCAAACAAAAAAAAAAACAACAAAAAAAACCCCCCAAACCCCAAACAAAAAACACCTTACTGACTCATGTAACTGAAACACGTAATTCTGAAGACTTGCCTTCAGACAAGGCTTGTCTGGGGGTTTATATGAGGCAAGGAGGACTCTGATTTTCCCTCCTCTCTCCACCAGCTTTTTGGATATTAGTGCCATTTTTGGATAGGCTCTTCTTTTTATGGTCCAAGAAGGATGTCAACAATTCCCAAAGTTCCAGGCATTCTCAGCCCTTCCCATACCTTAGAACCAATGGGCCAAAGTCCTGAGATTTCCTCTGATTGGTTGGGCTTACGTCAACTACCCACCCCTCATGCCGTCACAGCGGCCAGGAGAGTGGAGTGTTAGCCCTGGTGTTGTACTTCACCCTTGGAGCAGGGGCCGGCTTCTCCAGGTCCATAGAGGGTCCCACTGAGGGATTAGGGCTACTGGGAAAGGACAGCACACGGGTGCCACAGCGGTAACAACAAAGAAACACACTTCATCACGTGAGGAACACTGACAGGAATAGGGGTTCTTAGCTTGAAGAAGAGCAGACATAAAAAGAACAAGGTAGTTGTGCCTGAAGATTGGAAAGGAACTTGTAGCTGGCGTTCAGAGTTGGAGGAGCCCTGGGACCTTCAGTGTGGAGTCAGTTGGTCAGTGCGCAGGTAAGAGTCCGGGCTGTGGCTGTGTCCGCGGGGTGGGGCAGAGGCAGCCTCGTGGGACTGAACTCTCACCCTATGGAGGCTGACACTCCCTCCAGGCAGATAGTGTCAGCATTGAGTTGAATTATTGTAAAACCTGTTAGTGTCTGAGAATTGGTTTTTAACATGGGGGCACCCCCCAAACACACTGGAACTGGGTCTGGGGACCCAATGTAGTTACTCATAGAAACAAATACATGTATATAGGGGCAAAGATCACTGCAAAGAAATACACATGCCTATTGGATTTTCAGAGAAGTCTTTAAGTTCATTGGTGCTTAGATATGTGAGCTGCAAAACAGCCTTATTTTTTCCCCTTTTGTT